GTGGGGCTGGGGTCCAGCGTGGGGCTGGGGTCCAGCGTGGGGCTGGGTTGGGGTCCACAGTGCTGAGCAGCAGTCCCACCTCTCCCAGGAAGCAGCAGTGCCTCCTCCGTAGCCCTAAAAACCACTTCTGAGTGCAGTGTAGGAGGGGAGAGCGCTGCTGTGGTTTAGGTTTGGCGGCAGCAAAAGGACGGGTAAGAGTAGCAGAAACAGGAAAAAGGGGCAGGGCACAGCCTTTTTGGTGGTATTAGCTGCATCCTAAGACTTGAGGAATTTTGTGCTGTGTAGCTTTGACTCTGTCCTGTCTGATTTCAGACCTGTATCCCTTCCATAGCCCCCTTCTAAAATCATTTAGTCCCTTCCTCTACCTGTGGTTTGTTTCCTTGTTTGCTGTAAACGGTCCCCAAATGGTGTAGGAATCTAATTTGAGTTTTTCGGGGGGGAACAAAAAGTCTTTTCGCCTACTGAAATGCTACCTGCTGGAATGTTTGACCTGCTTTTTATTACTGCACGTAAAACCCAGATTTGAGCTCCCTGTGGAGTGCAGGGATTGGGACTCTCAAAGTTCACAGTCAAATAAAAGGACAGCGTATGCTTGGGAAGCACCACAGTAAGATCAGAATGGTGTTTATAGAGGCGCAGATTGGCTTGGGTTGGAAAGGACCTTAAAGATCATCCAGTTCCAACTGCTTGCCAGCTTTCTTCTTTGCCCCAGCAACTCCTGCTGTGTGGGCATGGGAAAGGAGTAAAGCACAACATGCGTTGCTCAGGCCAGCCCTGTTGGAGCTATTACTGGCAGACTCAGTTAAGAGCAGATCCCAGGCTGTTCTCATCTCTGCAGGGTCTGTGTATAGCTGGCAGGGGAGAGGGTAGCTAAGGGAGACCCAGGTTTTGAGAGCATGTTGTTGCCCCTGCTCAGCCCCACACCTTTGTGCTATGCAGCTCTTCATAAAGAGAGGCCATGTAATTAAATTTCAAACCTTGAAAAGAGCAGGAAGAAAAGCTCTGGAGACTTTTTTCTTGTCAGATGGATGAACGAGAAAGCAGTGGGTTGTAGAGATGCTATTTCAAATGTGAAATTCTGTCAGAGGGATACCTGTGTCCAAAGGAGTGCAGGTGAGGAGTGAAGCCACCATTTCCATGTCTGTATAAAGGCACAGCCACTGCTAATATCTGATTGTGGGATAAGAGCAGGCAAGTGCCTTGATAAGTTTTTTCTCCAATGTGTGGGAAGAACACCTCGTCTCTCAATTTGTTTTGCTGTACCCACCTTCCCTGATGCTGTGTCTGTGGTTTTCTAGCCTGGCTTCTTTACTCTGAACCTATGGCATGAAGTCCCCTTACTTTAAAATAGATGCTGGAAGATTGCAGAGGCTTTCCTGTAAAAGATGCTTTTTTACTTCAGTTTCACATAGTGATTTTGTTCTCCCCAAAAACAAGTTGTACAGAGGTTAAAAGGAAATGTTAAGTCCCTCTTTCTCAGCAGACAGCTAGGACTCTGCAAAGGAAGGACTTAAAAAGATAAGGGACTGAGTGCAAGTATTCTTGGACTGTCAGATTTCCAACATGACAACAAAGCACTTGTCCTTATCTCTCTGCTTTGTCACTTCTGCATCTGTGTTGGGGAAGAGGCTGCTGCAGAGGAGACTGACTCTTCTAAGCCTTGCTGTGTGATTTGGCTCCTGAATGCCCAGGGCACCCTGCAGTTGCACACTTTCTTCCCTGGCTGTTTTATTAATGGAAGTTGACATCCTCATGCTGGCTCCCAGGGAGGGATCTGTCTGAGTCATTGGCTGTAACGCAGCCCTTTTCCCACAAAGGGCTCCCTTCAGCTATTTACATCCCTCTCTTTGATCTATCTTTTGACATGAAAAGACATGTCAGCCAGGTAAAGGGAAACAAACAAAATGCAGGAACAGTCCCACATCTCTGCTTGCACATGATCTGCTCCCTAGCACACGCCTGCCTTACAGCCACAGATCCTTATCAGCCCTCTGATTTCCTTGCTATCATCTCTGTCTTCCCTTCATGCTGTTGTTTAACTTCTAGAGGCATATATGTGCATCTTGTTCGCTGCTCAGTAAGATGCTGTGGCACGTTTGCCTACTTTCTCTGGTATTTCCCTTCTATCTATAGTACAGCTAGGATGGGAAATGCCCTCACACATCCTCCTCACTTCATGCAGTGCCAGGAACAGGTGATACAGATCTTCATTTCCTGCCTTCAACTGCTGCAGTGTTTCAGCAAGCAGCTGTTTGCAGCTCGCTCCAGAAGTAGCAGCAATGCAACTATAGGTGAATTCCTTTGTGGAAACCAGATCCTTCATTGCTAAGTAGCTTAGGATCTTTCAGAGTTAAAAAGACTAAATATTATGCAAATTCAAATTAGATGCACCAGAACACAGTATCACACACCTGTGTTTTTTTCCTATAGGAATGGGTGTTCTAGAATTGCTGAGAAAGCAAATCTAATGGATAAGAATGTTGTTGAGATGCAGCTCTTTGGAGATGACTGCTAGTGCCAGGTGCAGAATAGTGTGGGAAGGAGAAAAATCAAACAGAGCTTAGTTCCTTCCTTTATCAGCAATTAATTTTCTTGTGGCATTGGCCAGCTTGTTGGGTTTGCACAGCTTGGTGCTCTTGGGCAATCTCTGAGCTGATTGGTCTGGTTATTTTATGTCTTCCAGGTAGTAAACCAGTGCTGGAGTGCTCTGGTAAAGGAGATGTCTGTCTGGTCCAGGGCCTGCAGTCCCATTTAAGCTGTGCTGCTATGGGATGTGGCTCCGTTGGTGAGGGTTCTCTACCCAAGCAGCAATAGCTCTCTGCATCACCTGAACTTGTGCTATGATAATTTCTTGGGAAACTCTCAGCAGCCAGTGAAACAGCCCTGCCAGTGTTCTTTCTTCCTGCAGCCAGCAGGGAGGTGGGCTGCCTTCCTTTTGTCCTACTCACTGTTCCCACATGAATCTTCATGGCTTGTGCTGTTTCTGGGCTGGCACCAAGCGTAGCAAGGTGCTGTTTGACTGAAGCCTTCACGTCATAACAGTTCTGCTTTGGGAAAAGCCTGAACTCAGTGTTGATGGCCTGGTGAGAATGCAGTTGCAAGTAGGATTCTTTTTCCTTCCCCAAAGGGGAAACGCCCTCAGGGTTGCTCAAGGATGCTGCAGTGAACGGGCCCTGATGGAGAAGCGAAACTTAAGCATGGACAGGAGCACTGATGTCTTGCTGTAACCCAACCACTTGCTTTTTGGACTACTAATACTTTAGGTATTGTGCTACGTCTTGCAGGATTCAGGATCCTCTCAAGCAATGGGAAAGGAAGCAAAAGGGAAACAAAGGGCTTTTCCTGCCAGCTCTTGTCACAGGAAGCCCTATGCTCGAAGGGAACTACCCCCTTGAGTGTTCGGCTTTGACACTGCATCAGCACAGAGAAGATCAGACAGAGGAAATTCCTGTTCCCACTCTCCCTTCTCTTTTGCTAGCTCAGTGTGAGGCCACAGTTAAAGATTATCTGTCTCCAAGTAATGCAGAGTTAACACCACCAGCATCTCTCTTCATACCCTTGGTTAGACCTTGAGAGCAGCAGGATGCAGGTGGAGTGGCCATACAGAGATTGAGTAAACTCCTGACTCCACACAGGACTACCTGAAAATTAAACCATATGTCTAAGCTTGCTGTCCAGACACTTGGTGCTATGACTGCTACGTAAGCTTTAAGACTTGTGATGAAGTAATTAAGTGTGAGTATCACCTTACCAGGCTGTGGAGACATGTTCTTTTGTTAAGAACACCTCTACTCTGATCAGCATCAACTTCCTACCAGAGTTATATGAATGCAGGTCTATTATATGTTGGCTAGTGAGGAAAAAAGTGGCTGAACTTGCTCCTTTCCACTCACATCCAGTATTATAGCCCAGCTTCTTGTGTGAAAACACTTCTATGGGTTTGAAAATCACCCACTGAAAGCTGTGTTTGAGAGGAAGCAATTGCCTCAATAGAGCAATATTTACTGGCTTTGCAGAGGGGGCACAGTGAGACTCACCCCTACGAAAGTCATGTTGTGTTAATGTCTCTGGAGTGGGCTTACCTTATTCAGGCTTAACCTTTGTTTCCTTCCTGTCCTTGCATCTGCTGTGTATTTTTAACCTACTGCTTCTGAAGCATCCTGCACACATTCTTCCCTAGCCTCTTCCTGCCCTTCCTGCCCCACTTTGTCTACCAGCTTGGGGGACAGGAGCATGTCAGTCTTGCAGCTGACATCTCACACTGTTAACTTTCTGCCTTGCCCTCCAGCAGCTGGGATGCACTGTCCCAGCCTTAGGCACAGTGATGGCCTGTCAGAGATCAGGGGTAACTCACTGCAAGTTTCTGATGCAGTCCAGATCAGTATTGTATGCAGATTTAGCATAGGAATCTCAAATGCTGTTTTCACAGCAGTAATAGAGCTAAGCCTCAGAGGGGACCCTCTGCCCCCTGTGCTGCCTAGTGTCATGCAAAGAATAATTAAACTAGCTGAGCTCCAGCTTGGATTAGGCAATTATTCACTTCCTACCTACTTCCACAAGAGCTTCCCCCCATTCTCTGCATTTTGGGATAGGCTTTTTCTGCTTGATCCGCAGTACAAAAGAAGCAATAAGGAAAC